TTTGTAGTTCTCCAAAGTCTGGGATTCTCCAAAGCCAGCTGCTGCCATCTCCCCCCAATATGCAGGGGGCTATTTAGGTTTAGGTTTCCCCTCCCACCTCCCTGGCTTCTGCCCTCCTTTTCCCCCAGTTAAGCCCAAACTGGCCCCCCAGTCATCTTGGTCCCCACACTCCTGCGCTTCCCTGGAAGGTCACACTCCGTTTTCCTTCTGAAGAACAAAATGCCCCGCCTCTGCCTCCCTCTTCCCATCCTCATTTTCTTTCTGTTTCTCACGGGAAATGCATTATTTGGGGAATCTTAAGTGACACAGCAATATATTTATGAGGCTGATAAGGAATTTTGGACCTTTTAAAAAAGAAGAAGAAGCCCTTAACCCTTGCTTGGCTCCTTCCGCACAATCTCTTCCTCTCTCTAAGCCTTAGGAACTCAGAGAAAAACTTCAGGATCCTGGATATATTTTTTTGGGGGGGGGGAGGAATGAAGTGATGCTTCTTTCAGGAACCCTTAATAGTTTATTGCAATCATCACGGAGTGGAGCTGTTCATTGCAGGATAAACAAAGAGTCTTATGGCACCTTAAAGTCTAACAAATTTATTATAGCATAAAGTTTTGTGGCGTCCCTCTCACTTCATCAGACACGTGAAATCTTGTCCTGAGTTGCAAGTATATGGTTGGTGGGTTATAAATATGAAGGTCAGAAGGAAATTTAATGTGGGAAAGTGCAGACACAGTGATAATAAGTACCTAATTAACAGAGGCAACCCACAAAACAGTTGTTGATAAACAGGGACATCCCCAGCATTGGTAAGTCAAGTAGCATACAAAATGTGCTAAAATCCTTTGTTTTGGTTCATTCCACAAGTGATAGAACTGAATCCCTGGATATATTGTAATTCATCTTTCTCAGTTCCTAACATTGCATCTGATCCCTGTTATAGAAGTGTGACCAATGAAAGGAGGATTGAAAAAGGAAGCTGTTAAGAACATGAGAAGAGCCAGCAGATCAAGCCCAGCAGCATCTGCTCACTGGGGGCAGCCAGATGTCCTCTAGGACACTCTCCCGCAGGAGCTGAGCCCGAGAGCAACACTCTCCAGCAAGTGGGACTCAGAAGCCTTGCTGCCTCGACTGTAGAAGGAGAGCACAGCCATTTGGACTAGTAGCCTTATCCTCTGTGATTCCCCCCACCCCGGCCCTCTAAAAGAGCCATCCCAGTTGATGGCCATCACTGTCTCCTGTGGCAGTGAGTTCCACAGTGTAACTATGTGCTACACGAAAAAGCCCTTCCTCTTCTCTGTCCTGAATCTGACGGCATTCAAGCTTTATGGGATGTCCCCGGGTTCTGATAGAGGAAGAAAGGCTTTTCTTTGTCGTCTTTCTCCATGCACGCATCACTTTATCATGTCACCTCTGGGAAGAATGTTCTCTGGGGAGATGATTTTAATCCCACCAACCATCACCCCCCCTTCCTAACTCCTCAGCTGCTTGCCTTGATAAACAAACCCCCCCCCCCTCTGGCCCTGGCTTTGCTGGGAACTTTCCCCTTGGAGGGATGCACAGAGGGAGCAAAACTTTATCCAGCCTCCTCCTTTCCTCTCCTTCCCTCCCAGCTTGGAGGGCGGCTGCCTGCAGGAGAAAGGGGGAGGGAAAGGAGAGCCGCATGTGGGGGGCTGCCCTCCCCTTCCCTCCCTCCCTCCCTCCCTGTCCCCACATGAAACCAGACTTAATGCAAAAAAGCTGGCCAGGCACAGAAGCGGCCAAGCTCGGAGGAGGAAGGGGCTGCGCTCAGCAGCAGAGCAGGCAGCCAGGAGCCAGCAAAGACGGCAAAGTTTCCTTTCCCGTGAGTAAATGCCCGCAACTCCCCACCCTCGCCCTAAACCTTGGGGGCCCAGCACCACCCCACCTTTTCTCAACTCCCGCTGACTTCTGGCAGGCTTGCAACTGCTGCCCAGCGTTTTGGGGCGGGCAGGATGGGGCCCCGCAGAAGCCTCGCCTGCTTGGGACCGGGGTGGCTCAAGGGGGACGGAGCAACCCCCCTGTAAGAAAAGGGTGCCGTCTTGGGGGCTTTTAGTTTGGAGAAAAGGCGAAGAAGATGCAATAGAAGTTCATAATCGTCTATGTGGCCTGGACAAAGCAGACAGCGGGAGAATTCCTCCCTCTCTCAGAACACTAGAATTTGGGGGCAGATAAAAGGAATCTGTGCAGCTCAGAGTTAAGCCATGGAACTTGCTGCCACGGGAGGCAGGGCGTCCGCCAACCGGGATGTCTTTAAAAGAGGACCGAAGAAGTTCAGGGGGGAGGAGAGGCCAATGCTGGCTGCTGGCCACAGAACTCTGCTCTGCCTCCGCAATTGGAGCAGCAATGCTCCTGAATGCCAGGAGGGGGGGGGGCTCTTGTGTTTGGGTCCTGCTTGCAGGTTTCCCAGTGAGGCATCTGGTAGGGCAGCGTGAGAACAGGATGCTGGGCTAGAAGGGCCCCACTTGGCCTGATCCAGCAGCCAGGCTCTTCTGATGTTCCCGTGAAGAGGCAGAAGGACCCGGTAATCAGTTCTGTCCTAGATGCTTCTGCCTTGCGCCCTGAAGATGATGAGGCTGCTATTCCCTAGGAAAACTCAAAATTCAGGGGCAGCTCCCTGGGAAATTCTCCTGCACTGTTGAAATGAACTTTGTGTGTGTGCCTATGCAGGAGAACTTCCCAGAGGTCTGTGCCCCAAGACCCCGGCTATGAAGCAGAGATTCCTCAACACAACCCGGGGTTTGTGCTTCCCTTGGAGCCATGTCATGGGATTTGTGGCACACATGGGGGTTTGTGGTCATGCAGTGGCGGGGCTGCAGGGGGAAGAAACATGCAGAGCATTCTGCACATGCTCAGAGGTGCTAATCATTATTATTATTTCTTGTATTTATAACCCACATTTTCCTCCAAGCAGCTCAAGGTAGCATATATAGTTCTCCCTCTCCTTGTTTAATCCCCCCAACAACCCTGTGAGGTAGGTGGGGTTGGGGGGCAGTGGCTGGCACCCAAGGTCACCCAGGGAGCTTCATGGCCGAGTGGGGGATTTGAACCCTAGTCTCCCAGGTCCTAGTAATCCAGCCCTCTAACCACTGCACCACACTGGCTCTGCATATGTCCTGGGGTCTGCTCTCAGCACTGAAAATGGGTAATGGGGGAGGGGGGCTGAGCTGAAGCCCACCTTCCTTAGCTACCTCTTTGGCCTCCACACCAAAAACACCCATGCAACAAGAATGGAGGAAAATCACAGCTGCTCCTGCCATGGTCCCCTGCCCTGTTGCCAGCAAGCTAGATTCAGGCAGCATGCCTCTGCCAATCCTTCCCCGCCCTGCGGAGTCCTGTGGCAAAATCAGAACATGGGCGTAATCAGGCAGGCTTTGCATGTAAGCCTCACTCCAAATCCACCTGACCTTCTAGGTACCATTTTGTTCAGGGGTTCCCAACCGACTATCGGGAGGGTGCTGAGGGCACCAGTCCCAGGTGGCCTGCCATGGGGTGTGTGGCATAATGCAGATCTAGAGAGACATAGGAGCACAGGAAGCGGCCTTCTACTGCCACCCCCGGCCACCGACAGCCTTGGGCTTGCCATGGAACGCCAGCCGTGTCCTGCGGGTGCTGATTGTAGCGTTCACATAATGTTGATTTCATAGAATCACAGAGTTGGAAGGGACCCTATGGGTCATCTAGCACTGGTCCCATTTGTAGTCAGGTGAAGGACAGGCCCAGCCACCATTGTTAAAGGAGTAGCACAGACTTTGGTGCAATCAAATCAACACTATTATTTGGTAGATCAGCTGCTTTAAGAATGTGGGATGCCTTTGAAAAATAACAACCTGATGAAAACAAAATTGAATTAAAAGCTTGCATTATGCAGCTGGCCATCTGAGAAGGTTTGTGCTCAGAGTCCAGAGGAAGGTCTTGCCTGCTGATTTAATTGCCAGTTGATTTGCTCCAGATCAGAAGAGATGGGGCAGTTCTCGGATTACACAGCTTTTAAAACTAGAGGGGATTTAGGGGATATTTTATGCATCCAGGGAGGAGGAGGAAGAAAGGAGGCCGAGGGATGGGGGAGACTGTGTGCATTTAGAGTTTGAAGAATTTCAGACCCTCCAAATGTCCCTGTTTTCCAGGGAAAGCCCCAGATTTACAGAAGCCATTCCCATTTCTGATTTGATCCCGGAATGTCACGCTTTTCCTTAGGACGTTCCTGTTTTCATTGGAGAAATGTTGGAGGGTATGGAGTTATCCAATCCCTGAGCCGTCTGAAGGCAATCCTGTATAGGGAAGGGTTTTTTCTTTAATGTTTTATTATGTTTTTATGTATGTTGGAAGCTTTCCAGAGTGGCTGGGGCAACCCAGTCAGATATGTGGGGTATAAATAGGAAAGAAACCATGGGGGAATGGGACGTTCCTATTTCCTTCATAGAAATGTTGGAGGGTATGGAATTTGGCCTGTCACTGGGATCTGGAGAGAGGCTGCAGGCCTTGCATAGATATGGCTGATCCATTTGATGGGATCCTGCTGACCCTGGTTCTCAAGGGAGGGTGCAAGAACTCTCCTTCCTTGGAGGTTTCCAAGCAGAGGTTGGATGGTCATCTGTCATGGATGCTTTTGCTGAGACCCCTGCATTGCAGGGGACTGGGCTAGAGGACCCCTTTTCCCCGTATTTCTGGCAAGCACAAAAGTTCTGGATTCCTGCTGAAGTGTTGCAAGGATGGAGCTCAAATTGGGTTTCATGGTGGGGAGGATATTGACAGCTTAGCCTCAATAGATCCACAGAGCTCCATGCCCAAAGGCAGTCTACCTCTGAATGCCAAGGGCTGTAGAGAAACAATTACAGAGGGCCCTTGTGTCGGTGCCCTGCCTGGATTTTGTGGATCTGGGGCTAAATTGGTCCTAAGGAGAGAAGAGCCGATGAAGGGGTCAGGGAGAGATGATAAAGGAGAAGTTCTTTTCTTGAAGTATCATCTGGGTGGAATGTTCCTTTCCAGTGGAAGTGAGAAGCCTAGATATCTGTTGCAAAGGAAACATCCCCATATACGGATTTCAAAAGTCTTTGTAATTTGCATTGGATGAAACATCCTTGGAGAGATTGGTCATCAGCTGTGAGCCAGATGGAAACTCCTTGTTCAGAGGCAAGGCGGCTTGGAAGGCCAGATTCTGAGGACACACAACAGCGGGTGCCTGCCACCTTCATGCCCTGCTGGTGAGCTTCTCGGATACATTCATTGGACTAGATGAGCTCTGGGCCTGATCAGCTGCAGGGCTCTTTTGAGGCTACACATTACCAGATGATTCATCCAGGGACCTCTGGCTGTTCCAGATGCTGAGGCTGCACCCTGGGTTTCAGTTAGCAGTTTTGCAGGAAGTTAATGTCTCCAAACTTGGCAAAGGTTCTGGGCACGTTGCATTTGAGTCAAGGGGAAACTGCTTGCATCAGGCACAGCCCCTTTCAGCAGGAACATCTGGACTCTGAATATGTTGCTTAGAAAAAGGAGCAGCGGAGAAGAAAATTCTGGAGGAGCATGTTAGTTCCAAACATGTGCAGAGTGGCACCTCCTGACTGCCAGGCTGGCACTTGGGATTTGGGGTGCAGCACTGGGGGCAGAAGGCAGAGCTCCAAAAGAAGGCAAAGGGGGGGGGGAGGAAGCCCTCTTTGTTTTCCACATTAAAAACTGGGTGTGTGTCACTGGAGAGTCAGAACAGAAACAGCAGCATTTAAACATCTGTCTAGATCTACTGACAGATCCAACAGCTGGTGAAGTAAACCTTGAGCTGGATCAGCAGGGGCTGCATGCCTGAGTCTGCGCTCTTCGGTCTGTGTAACAGTTTCCACTGCAAACCTCAAATCTCAGGAATTTACCCACCAACCACTGTGGTGTGCTCAGGCCAGGATCTGATCAGGCTCAGGAGCTCAGAGATTTATTAGAACTCCTAAACCAGTAAGCTCCCAACTCTGCATGTTGAGAAATAAATGAATTTAGACCATCCACACATCTCTGTCGGCCCAAGGCCCCCCATCTCACTGTATGCTCCCCTCCTGTTAGGGGGCTCTTCTGATCTCCTTCTGCCTCGGACTCTTGACTGGATGGCATTAGGATCGTTCAATCACTCCTGACTCGTACGGACAGACCAGAAATAGCCTCCTTCAGAGGAGGCTGCCTGCCTGAGCTGCTCTTCTGGGCTGACACATACAGAGTTGGCTTTTGCAGAGCTATGAGTCACGGTCATATCCCTGGTCTTAATCCACCTAGCCCAGTCTTGTCTATTTTGCATCTCATTTTGGGGGGAGGGTTGCAGGGGGACCACCACTATCACAGGCGGTGGAGAGTGACTTTTAAATTTGGCTTTGGGGAAGCAGTGGATCAAATGAGAAGAAAGGAGATTCCGACTAAATATTAGGAAGAACTTCCTGAGGGTAAGAGTGGAATGAACTGCCTCGGAAGGTGATGGGCTCCCTTCACTGGAGGCTTATAAGTAGAGTAGGATAGCTGTCCAGGGATTCTTTTGCTGCAATTTTTGCATTGCAGAGGGTTGGGCTAGATGTCCCTTGGGGTCCCTTCCAAGTTCTACAATTCCATTAGCCAACAAGAGTGACAGGAGTGGGGAAGAAATAACATACCTTATCCATGAACTGTGTATGTATGGAAGAAGCCCTACCTCCAGCTGGGCCTGAAACTTCGCTGAATGTGTCGATTTCATGGGATTTCAGTGGCTATTTTTGCTTATGCCCACATCTCAGTTTGAGGTAGGGATTCACCAGAGCTTAACCCCAGAACTAGTTGTCGAATATGTGAAGTCATTAGGACAGATGAGAGGCCTACTGAGCATGTGCAAAGAGGCTCACCATTAACTTTAGCAAGCCCCCCACCCCCATGGAAGAAGTTCCTCCAGATCTAAGAATGGGACTTAGGTCATTTGCGCATGCTACACATCTAAGAATAACCATTCCTTTCTGTTTGTTTGTGTGTGTGTGTATTTGTTGTTTTTTCCAAAGAACTAGCCACATCCAACCGCTGACATGGCCATCCTGATGGACATCTGCCTGCTTGTTATGCTGATGGTGCCCTTGTGCGCCTCAAGATCCATACACAAAGCAGGGCTTGAAGACAACGGTGGCAGCGGAGAGAGCGAGGGGGCATCCTCCATCCCACCCTCTGCAAGCGTGACACTAGGTGCAAACCCCACCTTGAATGACCTCATTGTGAATGGGACTTCAACATCCCTCAACATATTGGACGGGATTGTCGACTTCTTCCAGAAGTACATGCTCTTGATCATTGTGGTCGGCTCCTTGGTCTTCCTCTTCCTTTTCATTGTGTGTGCCGCCGTCATCGTCCGGCAGAAACACAAGGCTTCGGCCTACTATCCATCATCTTTTCCAAAGAAGAAGTACGTGGACCAGAACGACAAGTCAGGAGGCGCCAAGGCCTTCAGCGAAGTGCCAGAGAAGCTGTCGGATGCCGACCAGGAAGAGCCCGTTGACTCCACCAAGCAGCTGCAGGCGGATATTTTAGCTGCTGCACAGAACCTCAAATCCCCAGCCAAGGCTGTCACGATGAACGGGGAGAGTGCCAAAATGGAGGACAGGGCAACCAACGTCAAGGAGGAAGGGACAAAGGTGATGGAAGAGGCTGAGAAGGAAGAGAAAGCCACTCCAGAAGAACAGGATGGTCCAGCAGAGGAGGCTGAGACTCCAGCCCTGCCAAACTCGGTAGATGCGGAAATCAATGGTGAAGATGTGAAGGATCAACAGGTGGAAGAAGAAACTCACCCAGCATCTCCAGAAGAGCCCAAGGAATCGCCAGGGACTGATAATTCCACAGGACAAGTCTCAGAAAGTGAGGCAGATGAGCCGGGGGCTGCACCCCCTGATAGTACTTGCACCCCAGGAGACTAGGACACAGGGACTCCATTGCTTGGCTTTCCACCCTTGGCTATCGTGTTGAAAAGCTGATCATACTGAACCTGTGATGGACTTTACTTTTACTCTGTGGGCAACACCAGGCCCTTCAGTATCTGACGTTTCCCACCTCCATTTTAGAGATGCCCCATTAGAAGTAGCATACTGAGGTTTGCCTTAACATTGAATGACTTAGCCACTCTCCTCTGACGCAAGTACAAGGTGTTATTTAGTAGGTGAGGATGACTGGAGGAGATCCAGCACTGAGCACTGACTGAGATCCAAATATAGGACTGAAACCACTGTTGGGTTTAAACCTATTTTGAAACAGGTTTTTGTGAATAGATATGGTAGAACCTGTGGTTCAAGCCCAGTTCTGGATGAGGCTTTTTTTAGCAGTCCCCAATAATAGTAGCTGCCTACCCAATCCCCACTTTCCAGGTGAGTGCCTGGCTGCTCCATATTCTATACTCTCCCTGGGATCAGTAGCCCATTCTGGTTTTCTGCCAAAGCTGAATTTACACAGTGCTGATTGGCTGGCCTTTTGGGTAATCATGAAGCCAATCGCTCCTTTTGAAGCAAGGCTGTGCAACATGCCCATTGGCCAGCCTTTGGGTCAATTACAAAGCCACCACACCCGCCTTTTTTGGAAGTAGGACTTAGCACAGGACTTAGAACTGATTGGTCAGCCCTTCGTGTCAATCACAAAGCCACCTCACTCTTACTTGGAGCCTTTTTTCAGGTGCTGAACAAATTGTTGATAAAAGAACAATGCATGATGCTTAAAAATGTGGCTGGCAAAATGACAATCTGGATTCAATCTGAAGCTGAGTATATGTGCCCTTTGCGGAGTGAAGGTGCATAGGTGGAAGCACAGCTCACCTCTCAGGAAAAATCTCTGCCACTGTTTACAAGCCTGTGGCCTGACAATCTTTGCTAGAGGTTCTTGGTCCAAGATTCAGTCCTGAAATTTCAGGGCAGCTCTGCTCCCCAGATCTCTCCTGGATATTTTTTCGTGATGTTAGGTTTTAAATTTAACTCCCATCCACGTGACACAGAAACCTCAGTTGGACTTGATAATGGATGCCACTTCTGACACCAGCCAGGGAGACACCAACTTTGACACCACAGGTGCCTTCGTGGTCAATTTCAGTGCTCAAACAATCCTACAGAAGATCCTTGCTCAAGAGAATGGGCTCGGATCTGGGATGTGCCCAGCTGATGGACTGGCATGCTTAAAGTTTCACAAACATCCAGGCATTTATATTATTACAAGAATTTTGGGGTGGAGAGGACATCCATCACGTGTGAGAGAAGCACACCAGAACTGGCCGTTCACGCCACTTGAACCCTGAAGCATTTGTATCATCAGCAAAGGATCTTAAGATAATTTTGAATTTATAATATCTGTGGAAACAGCATATATCTGGGAAACTCAAAAAATCTGCCTAAAACGCCAGTAATGTTGGCTGGACATTTTTACTCTTTCTACCAGCTCTGACGGGGTTCGGGGGAGGGAAACTAATTTGTTTTAAAACTCACTTTTGTACTTTTGTGAAGGACTTTTGAGTGGCTTTGTTGTTTCCACTTGGGATTCTGAGACATTTTCTTCTCTGGCCTGCTCAGGAAAGAGAGGAATACTTTTAGCAAACATTACAGCTGGACCAAGAAACTCTTTATCTTTACATGTGACAAGCCTTGAAGAATTTGAGCGGAGGGTTTTATTGGGGGACGACCATTTTCGCCAAGCTTCTTCACAAAGGTTCTGATAATATTTATGACTCTGGCCATTCCTCAGAACACAAGATAATAGGGAAGCCCTCTCTGAAGTCAACAAAAGCCAACAAAAAAACATTGATGGTTATGCTCTCTTTAAGAACAGGGATTTGTGGGGCCCTCATTTTCGGCTGTGGCTGTGTGCCATGGAGGGGCTTGGGGAACTAGGTTGGGATCATGGAATTGTAAAGTTGGAAGGGACCCCCAAGGGCCATCTAGTCCAACCCCCTGCAATGCATTAGTGCTGCTTGCCCTGCCCGCTTTCTGGCTGGCTGCGTCCAGCCTCCACTTAAATTTCCCAATATGCTTCCAAATACCAGGTGCTGGAAGCCACCAAAGAGGCGTGTGCTCTTGTGAGGGGCCAGAGGTCCTTGGCTGATTAAGACTCTGGGGGTCAAGGGCTACAGGGCCTCAACCAGGAACCTCGTGGCCTAGAGTTACTTGGGCAGAAACAATGATTTATCTGGAAGTGCCCGTTCTCTCTGATGGAAAAAGCAACTCTCCCCTTCAGTGGTTATGCCATGTTCTGAAAAACATTTTGTTTAAAACCACACAGGGTAAAAAAGGGCCAAGGCTACTTACTGCACAGAGTTTGGGGCCCTTTTGCAAAGCTACTTTGGCATTAAGTGTGGAAGGGGAATGACGACCAGTACAGGGATTCCTAAGAATGGCTTCCACCAAAGCGACTCTCTTGGACTCTTCCATGGAAAATGTTGGCAGGCTTCGCAAAACAGTATTCGGTCCCTGGGCAACCACCGCAGCATATCTGAAATCATTGCCATCTCGTCCGGAAGTCACAGCAGCTGCCCAAAGAGATTCAGAGAAATAAACCAGAGGGGTTATCTCTGCATTTTTATAAACTGAAATCTAACCAATTACTTAAGAAATAACCTGAATATTAAACAAATTAGTTAAGTAAAGTTGCAGACTGCAATGTATATTCCCTGCCCCTCCTTTCGCAACCTCTTTAAACCTTCAGTTACCCAAGCACACAAATATACATTCCTATGCAGACCTATGTTCCATTTTTCAGTTACCGGTATTTGTTTTTTTCTGTGTGCTGCTCTGTGGTAAACTGCTTTTGAAACAGAAGTTTAGAAACGTTTTCTTTTTAATCTGCTACAGGTGTGATATGTCTCTGTGTAAGAGCATCCATTCAAGGGGAGGCGGATATCAGATTCCATTGGACGCAAACAACCTCAAATAGCTTTTCTCTTGAAGGATGCAGGGCCAGCCCTACCATTGAGTAGAGTGAGGCACTTGGGTGTTGTGGATGGGGATCAAAGTGATGGTTATGTTCTGCATTGATTCCTTCTTTCCATGGGAGGGGCACTTGTGGGTTTTTCTGCACTGGGTGCCAAGTTAACTTGGCCAGCCATGAACACTGAGTGCTTTGACCTGGGCAGTGGAGGTTGGGTGCCACAGCCTATTCTGCTTCAGACAGCAAAATATTTTGGGCCAGCCTTGGGGAAGTGATTAGAACGAGAGTTACCAGGTCCAGAGCATCCCTTATGCAGAGACTTCAGGGCTGTGGTCAGTGGGCTTTATAAGACTCAGTGACTTCTCTTGTCACATCATGAATCTTTGCACCCAAAAGACAGCACATCTCCTGGCACACCCTGTTTCCTCCTCACACTACAGCCTCTGTCCTCCTCAGTAGGGAGTCACCCACCACCCCCACTTGTCTCTTCCGCCTCTGAGGAGCAGCAGGGATCATTCTAAACACTGCATGCTCCAAAGCCACCTCGGTGGATTCATAGGTTTGCAACTACGGTTCTTGCTCCTCTGGCCCAGAATCAGAAAATAGATTGCTAGCAGGGTAGGAGTTTAGGGCCTCTCATCTGGACATATTTCTCCCAATCCCTGTATTTGGACCAATATAATGAATTTCCCCTTATTGCTTATTGGAGCTTATCTGGATATTATTAGGATATGTTATAAAGGCAGGAGCCTTATGGCTTGAGTACTTCCTTCTCCTTTCAACTTGCCTTCTCCAGACTGCAATTCCCTTTCTCTGAGATCATTTCCTTGGAAGGTAGCAAGTGGGTTATTTGCGTACTCATCCACAATCAATAGTCTTGGATGTGAAGGGTCAAGAATGGAAAATGACTCCTCCAAGTCCATCTCCTCCCATCTCTTCCTCCTCTGGAGGGTGGCAGGAATCATTCTGTGCACTTCCACAGCCCCCTCGGTGTATTCTGAGGTCAGCAACTGCTGTCCTAGCTCCTCTGGTCCAAGGAGGAAGCATGGAATTGTTTTTGCAGCTCCAATGATACAACATGGTTCCTGACAGTCCTACTTTGGTGTGCCACATTCCTCCAGGGGTTCATCTCCTGCAACGGGCAATCTTCCTCCTCCTTACAGGCACCTCACCTGTGTTGCTGCTCCAGCACATTCCACTCAGCTCTGTCAAGAAACTCCACATCTTGTCCTGTAGCTGGAAATGTGGCTAGGCAGGCCTCAAGTTGTTGTACCTTCTCTTCCAACCAATGCACACTTGCTACAAGTGTACTTTTGCATGCTCTCTGGCAGGAAGACCAACATGGTGCAGGTGCTGCAGGCCCTCGCCCTCCATGTCTCTTGGAGTGTGTGTAGGGCCTCCCCTCAAACGCCCCCACTAAATGAGGGCATTCACAGGCTCCTGGCACAAGCTCCCAAAAGCTACAACCAGCTAAGTCTTAACTGCGGATGTCTCATCCTCAGTGTTGTTTGGGAGGTCAAAGAAACCCAAAAAATGAATGCAGTTCTGAAAAGCTCAACCCGCCATCTTGATTCAAAATGGCATCCAATTGTTACCAACCATATACGGAAACCTGCTCCTCAGGAGCCATCAGGCAGAATTTGGTTATAATATATTACAAGGTGTCTAAATGCATAGTGCACATTAAATATTCTAAAATATACAGTAGATACAACAAAATATTTTCAATGCCATCACCAAAATTGGCAGGATCTGGCAGGGACCAATTTTGCTTGGGAGGGTGAGAGCCTGATCACACCCCTTAATTGGGTGTTAGCCACCCCTAGTTTAGGGGTCAATCAAATTATATAGGTAAGAATTGGCCACTGATCTAAATCTATATAACACAAAATCTTTTATTTTTATTTTTTAAAAAGACAGTAAATAGCTGGGAAAGCTTCAAAACCTGACCAGTTCTGGCTAAACTGGTCTGGTATTAGTAGATGGGGAGAAACCCCCCCTAACCATTCTGTGAGAGAAGCGTTGGGAGCCATTTTCGAAGATCTCTGGTCACTGGCAATTTGGGTGGTTCCCATGCACAGGTGGTCCTTCCTTTGCCAAATCTTCTAGTCTGTGGCCAGATAGTTTGCTTAGGAACAGGGGAAGCTGCTGTAGACAGAATCAGACCACTGGCCCACCTAACACAGTTATGGTATGCTCTCCTGGCAGCAGCTTGCCAGGATTACAGGTCAGGCTGCTCCCAGTCCCACCCAAAGATGGTGCCAGAGATGGAACCCAGGACCTTGTGCGAGCGAAGCAGATGCTCTGCCCCAGAGCTAGGCCCCGTCCCCAAAGTCCCAGCTGTTCCAATGTTTACCAGGCACTTTCTGGGGTCAGCAAAATGGCGTCTCAGCTGGTGATGAAAATACCACACAATAAGTGCTTTCTGTTTTAAAAAAATTGATGCTGATGCAAAGTTACTTATTGGGTTTTTTTTAATTAGCCACTGTCCCTCTCCCAAAAGGGAAACTCAAAGTGACATAGAAATACTAAAAAACAAGGATGACACAACCAAAAATTCACAATAGTTAGGACCACGGAACTCACTCCCACAGGAGCCAGTGATGATCACCAACTTGGATGGTTCTTAAAAAGGTAAAGGTAAAGGTACCCCTGCCCGTACGGGCCAGTCTTGACAGACTCTAGGGTTGTGCGCCCATCTCACTCAAGAGGCCGGGGGCCAGCGCTGTCCGCAGACACTTCCGGGTCACGTGGCCAGCGTGACATCGCTGCTCTGGCGAGCCAGAGCCGCACACGGAAACGCCGTTTACCTTCCCGCTGGTAAGCGGTCCCTATTTATCTACTTGCACCCGGGGGTGCTTTCGAACTGTTAGGTTGGCAGGCGCTGGGACCGAACGATGGGAGCGCACCCCGCAGCGGGGATTCGAACCGCCAACCTTTCGATCGGCAAGCCCTAGGCGCTGAGGCTTTTACCCACAGCGCCACCCGCGTCCCTGGTTCTTAGGCAGGTTCTTATTGGATAAGGCTAGATGACCACAACGAACCAAAATGGCTTGGCCTCCATGGCTGGAGTCAGGCCCCTCATGTGCCGGTTGAACAGAGTTTCAAACTCCCACCTTTGGCAGCAAAATTTAAAGCATAGGAATCAGGCTGTAAAATATTGTTTTGAGCAAGTCCAGCTATGAAATAAGCTGGCTCCCCCCTTCTAACCCGCTTAACAAAGACTCAGGCAGCAACCTGGGAAGTAAGTTTAAAAAGATTTACTTACTTATACTCATGCATTGGTTCACAGCAATGGCAGCAGTAAAAACTATGCAGGCAACATACTTATATCTACAGTATAAGCAGCTTCAAGGAAGCGGAGCCAGTGGAGGCATGTCTGCATCCGATGGTGGTCAAAGGAAGAGAGAGAGGAACTGCAAGTGCGGTATGCTCCAAGGGGAAATGACATCACGCAAAGGCCTGTCTACCAGTTGTATTTCTATGGTCTCAGCAATACTGCAATACAGCTCTGTGGACTTGGCCCCTTCTCATGCTAACTAGCAAGAATATGCCTTTGTTAAGTTGGCTGCTAGTCTCCCACAAAAGCAGATAGTGGAGAGCATGCCATAAACAGGGAGACACCACTGAGATGGGAAGTTATAAGAGTTCCTCCATGTTCATCCGCAGTGTATCTTAGAATAGCCCCTGGGGAGCCATGAATGCCACTGGATATGGGCTGCTGGGAAGAAGCTAGGGCTGCTCCCTTGCTGTCCAGCTTGTGGCCTTCCCAGAGGCATCTGGTGGGCTGCGGCTGGGAAGCCAAAGGGGCCATATCCACACTCAAACAGCAATATGATGCCCCTTTAGCCAGCCATGCCTTCCCCCTAGGAATTCTGGGAGCTGTAGTCTGTTAAGGGTGCTGAGAGTTGTTAGGAGACCCCAGTTCTCTTCTCAGAGCTACAATTCCCAGAGCTCCCTGGGAAGAGGATTTGACCGTTAAACCAAACTACAGTCCCCCTTAGTTCTCAGCAGGACCACTTGGCTCAATTTTGTGGACACGCTCCATCAGTTTCATATAGGAAGGAGCAATGGGCATAGGAAGCAATGCCCCTCTCAGGTTCTTTTGCTCTAATGTTGTTTATTTTCCCGGTATGATTCTTATAATGTTTTAAGTACAGTGGTACCTCGCAAGACGAACGCCTCGCAAGACGGAAAACCCGCTAGACGAAAGGGTTTTCCGTTTTGGAGGCACTTCGCAAAACGAATTTCCCTATGGGCTTGCTTCGCAAGACGACAGCCCATAGGGAAATCTCCGGGACAGCGGGGAAGCGCAGCGCGTCTTCCCCACTGTCCTCGGACCTCCTCCGAAGCCTGGCGGCAAGGCGGGGACACCTCCTCCCGCCGCCGCCGGGCTTCGGAACGATGCCCCGATGCCGGGCGGCGGGGCGGGAACCTCTCACCCCGCCGCCCGGCATCGGGACGATGCCCCGAAGCCGGGCGGCGGGGCCGCGAAGCCTGGGCGCGCTGATCTCAGCGCGCGCAGGCTTTGGCATGCCGGCAACTCTCCGCAAGCAGCGGCAGCGCTGCCGCTGCTTGCGGAGAGGTCCGCAAAGCCTTGGCCGGACAGCTTTTGAAGGCAGGCGGGGGGGAGCGAAAGTCTTTGTCCCCCCTGCCTGCCTTTAAAAGCCCTCCCGGGAGAGCGGAGAAACGCGCTGCGTTTTTCCGCTCTCCCGGGAAGGCAGGCGTGGGGAGCAAAGACTTTTGCCCCCCGCCGGCCTTCAGAAGAGGTCCAGGACCTCTTCTGAAGGCTGGCGGGGGGCAAAAGTCTTTGTCCCCCCTGCCTGCCTTCCCGGGGGCTTTTAAATCGCCCCGGACAGCGGAGAAGTATCCCAAATATTATTTTCCCCTATCTTCAGGGGTATTTCAGTCTTGTTCTTGCATTGCTGAGCTATCGCTAATCTTGTTGTGGTCAGTAAGAAGCCTGCTGGTTTTCTGTCGTGCAAAATGGAGCCCCTCCATGTCCAAAGATATTAGGGCTAAGGCAGGATTTGGAGAAAGGTTGGCTTGTAATTATACATATAATGGGGTATTTGCTGCTCCAAAAGTTTTTAACATGGGGGCATTCTCACCCAACGTGAATGAATGAACCATGTTTTCCACAACCCTTTCAAGGTATGGGGGAGAGGGAGGGATTCATTTTTGCCAGCCTGACCAGTGTCCAGTGCCATTGGAAGATGACCTTGAGCGAGGCCTCCTGTAAGCGAGCAGAGATGGTTTTCATGGGGGGGCGGTCCAGATTCCCTCTCATTTGTGATCTTCGTTTGGGTGGCCTAAATCTGATCCCCATACAATCCGAAGGCCTCTAGCACCCCCACTTCATGATCGAATAGTTGTATATTAGGGAAGTAGCACCCTTCAGGATTTAAACAAGGCAAGTGTGTGTAGGCCCTCTCCCCTGGGCTCCAAATGAAGAATGAGCTGGAGACACCTGACACCAGGTAATGATTTCTTTTAATTCATCCTTTAAAAATAGACAAAAACTACTACAGTGGAACCTCGGAACTTGAATGGCTGCTCTTGAATGTTTTGGTTCCCAAATGCCAAAAACCAGGAAGTGCTCCAGTTTTCTAACGATCCTTGGAAAACTAATGTCCAACGCGGCTTCCGCTATGCAAAAACCTGGCTGTCAGTCAATTGGAAGCCGCACTTTGAAACTCGAATGTTTCAGAAGTTGAACGGTCTTCCAGAACGGATTCTGTTCAAGTTCCGAGATACCACTGTACTTGCATTCACTTTTTTCTTTTTAGCAATCCATCTGAACACACATGCTTTTATTATGCATTTGTGGCACTCAGAGGCATAAAAGTAAAATCCTTTTTAAAGTAATGTCCCCTGGTTATCTACAGGTGATTCCTACTCACCATAGGTGAACACACAAGTGGGTGCTTTCAGTCGAAATGACAGAATTCATGATCTGCCACCTTCCCTTTTAAATTGCAAATTTCTGGAACACCCCACAGAATGAAGATGACTGTTCAAAATACAGGCCATGTTTCAATATCCACTCAAGGGAGTGAGATTATTCTTTGCATTTGAGTTCCCTGTTAAGCTCTGGACGCTTCTGCCACCGTGCAGACCAGCCACGTGTCATTGCCTGCGCGCCCTTTGTGAGATCTGCAATTCTTCTTGCTCCCTCCTGTTTCTGAAATAGTAATGGAAGGCTGGATTTCCCCCAACTCCTTTCCAGCCTCTCTTCCCCAGTGCCTGCATGTCTCAGTGCCACATCTGGAAGGGGGCGGGGAAGCTGTCATGAAATCTATTTCTCTCCTGGGATTAAAGGAGGAAATAGCCAGCATACTTGTGCAAAAAGGCAAAAGCCGAGAGGCCCTAGTGCTGGTTTTTCTGGTGCCTTGGCCGCTCTGTGGGCTAAGGGAAAGCATTATCGGCGGGCCTTTTGGAGAGGCTTCTGATAAAACAGGAGAGAACGCCAGGAAGTCAAGCCTCTTGTTCTCAGCCATTTTTTGAGAGGTGTTTTTCTGGCCACCTCCAGAAGGCAGGCGAAGGGCTTGAATCTTCAGACAAGAGAAGAGCACTGTTCCCCAACTTGGGAAATGCACAATTAAGCAAGACATGCAGTGCTGTTGCAAAGGTTTGCATCCAGTAAATTAAACACAATATTGCATCTTGTGCTGCTGTTTTCGGGAGGGCTATGTATGTAGATAGGGACGCGGGTGGCGCTGTGGGTAAAAGCCTCAGCGCCTAGGGCTTGCCGATCGAAAGGTCGGCGGTTCGAATCCCCGCGGCGGGGTGCGCTCCCGCTGCTCGGTCCCAGCGCCTGCCAACCTAGCAGTTCGAAAGCACCCCCGGGGGGCAAGTAGATAAATAGGGACCGCTTACTAGCGGGAAGGTAAACGGCGTTTCTGTGTGCGGCTCTGGCTCGCCAGAGCAGCGATGTCACGCTGGCCACGTGACCCAGAAGTGTCTCCGGACAGCGCTGGCCCCCGGCCTCTTGAGTGTATGTAGATGGATCAAAACAGCTGCCTGCTTTTGGGGGCTCTCCATAAGGATGTGGCTATGGGGGACATCACAGGAAGCTCCTGCACTACATCATTTGCTACACCCCTGGAGAAGAGTCTGATCGCTAGACATGAGCTGTGCTGGACACAAAAAGCAGCCTTGTTCTTTAGCTCAGCACTGGGAGGGGGCAGAGCTGCCCTGCCCTTCAGATTTTGCCCCTTTGGGACATCTTGACTTTCCCTCAAGAACCAGATGCTTTTAAAATCTAAACATTTCAGATGTTTTTATATACATATATATATATATAAATCCCCCTTTCCTGCATTTGAGGAGCGACACGTTGGCAACAGGAATAGTTTTACAGCCTGCACGTCTGTCTTATGGTGCACAGCTGCTGTTATAAGCCACGATGCTGGAGCAGCTGTAGAGACATTTCAGTTAGAAACCTGAGCAACTAATAAATTATTTGACGTGCCAGACCTCCAATGAGAGAGCAACTGCTGCTCAGCATGAACTGGAATACTCGCAAGTCCCTTGCAAAAGTGGCAAGCGTTTCTCACTCGCAGAGGGATGCAAAGCAGAATTGTTGAGGGTATTTATGTACAGCATCCGCTGAAGCTGAGCATTAGAAGATTCAGGATTTAAGAGGGTACTTCATGCAGCAGTTATGCAACTCCCTACGGAACTCCCTCTCGCAGGAAGCAGTGATAACCACAAACTTGGCTGGCTTTAAAAGAGGACTGGATAATTTCATGGGGGGGGGATGGCTACTAGCCCAGATGGCTGTGCTCTGCCTCCATGATCAGAGGAATGCTTCTGAATACCAGTTGCTGGAAAATGCAGGAGAGGGCTCTTACACCCAGGGCCTGCTTGTGGGCTTCCCACTGTGAGAATAGGAGGCGGGACTAGATGGGCACGCACTGGCCTGGTCCAGCAGCGCTGTTCTTCATGTCTTCTGTTAGTGGGGGTGATTCACACGTGAGTGGACCCACCTCACTGCTGGTGCAGGGCAGCTCTCTGCAGTGTGTAACGCAGGGATTGTCAACCTGGTCCCTACCGCCCACTAGTGGGTGTTTCAGGATTCTAGGTGGGCGGTAGGGGGTTCTATGGCACCAGCTGAATCCTCTTTCCATCGAGTGCTGGTGGGCGGTAAGGAAATTTTACCATCGAAAAAGATGCATTAGTGGGCGGTAGGTATGAAAAGGTTGACTACCCCTGGTGTAAAGCAAGGGGAAGTGATTCAATCTGAAATGCTCCCCTGGGACAGGCTGGATATAGTCGGTTGGTTAAGAATTTAAGGGGAGCCCTGCAGCAGCAGCAGCAGCAGCAGCAGCAGCAGCGTCAGACATCTGGCAAAGGACAAGATGGCACCCCCATTTCATGCACAGAAGCTGGACTGGCAGCTGAATCTTGTCTGGATGCTGATGATGTCTTTGTGAGACAGCTTAGGGAGCACGGGGCAGGCTGCCCTCAGGGACTTCTTATTGCCACTCCCTATCATATGCCACCCAAGGCAACCCCTTCCACTACTAAACACACTTCAAGAATCAGTCCAACTGAAACATGACTTTTTCTCTCCTCTCCTATTCACCACCCAGAAACTAAAAAGGGAAGTCTTCCTTAAGTACTAGTTCATTAAACCTTTTTTATTTTTCAGGTTGCTTTGGTTGTAAATCAGCCAAGGAACCTGGAAATGTAGTTCTGACCTGTCACTGTTCCTGAAGCGAAGGACTGTGTAAGAAAACCCCAACTGAGTTCTTCTGGGCAACAGTACCCCCCTCCCATTCCTTGGGGGGGGGGATAAATGCAGATTTTGCTATGAATACACCCCTCACATTGGTGAAGGACTTTTTGCCTTTCTTACTGAGAAACTGAGCTATCTTGTCCTTCTAAGCAATGCTGTTCTCTAATGGGGCTGACTGCTTTTCAAGGCTGTTTCAGAGAGCACAGGGCTGGCATTTTCCAAAGATGATGAGCAAATCTCCTGAGTGTCGGTTGCTGGGGAGCAAGAGGACTGTGGCCTACATGCCCTACTTTTAGAAGGGCCATACAAGCAATCGGCAACAAAATGCCACTGTGTATTATCTCCCAAAAGGAGTGACCCTACAGGGTCCCAGCCAGCCATTCCCACCAAGGAAGGCACCACAGTCTTCCCTCCCCCTCAGTTTGTTTTCTCTCTTCCCACTATCACTCTATGTTGCATCCTCCACACCCACCCCAAGCAGGCTGATACCTCTCTCTTATTTCTCTGTGGTCTGGCTGAATACTGTTGTGCCAAATAAGGCATTTATACAAATTCCTCTTCTAAATTCAGCCTGAAATTTGCTAGGAAGAAACACACAATTCATTGAGCCAGAGCACAGCATATATTATCTCTATATATTTCTATATAGCATACACTGTACATAAAATAAATCAGAAACTTGTGCATAAACTGTCTGATCACACAATCCTTTTCTTTAAAACCCAAACTAGGGAATAAGGATAGGAACATGGTTGTTTCTGCCTTAATCTGCTGTTGGGGTAAATCTCCTCCCTCCCGGCTAGAAGAACATGCTGCTGGCAATGGGAAGGGAGATTCTTGCTTGCTGCCTCATCTGCGGAAACAGCAGGAGAGGAACTTCTACCTTCTTTAGTCCCCAAAGATATCTAGAGTGGGCTCAATTTCCCTTCCTGTGGGGAGGGTTACAGGTCCCTGACTGTCCTCTCGTACCAGGCAGCTTTGCCCAAAGCGGAGATGGGGCTGCTCCTTGCAACAGCAGGCCATGCCCTAGCAAACATGTAGGCAATTGCCTCCTACACACTGAAAGCTGGAACGATTACTTATAGCAAAATTCTCACACTGAAATCACAAGAAGGTTCTTCTCTTTCCTCCCACATGTGGAAGGAAAACAGAAAAGCTGGTAGCAAAGATGATCAAGGTGACTGCCCTGAGGTGGTTCCAATGCAGCCTGACATTGTGCATGCTTCCAAAATGCGCTCCTTGCTGTAATTGCCCTGCTAAATTACAATTGGAATGACAAGGAGGTTGTCGCGGGACAGGCCTTTTGACACGCAGCACCTCCTTCTAGGCCACGCTTGCATTTTTTCCTGGCTCACTGCTCTTCGGCCCCTGCTTCAACTTGTAATCTGCTAAGGCAGCCCTGATGGCATCTTCTGCCAGCACTAAGGGAGGAAGAACACAAGTGAAATTTTACATTGGTTTAACAGCAGAAGTCAAATAAGCAAAATAATTTCAATCCTGAGTGCCAAGGACTCTGGGAGAAGAGCCATGCTTCTGGGTCTCTCCTGCAATTCAGCAGGCCAATTCACAACCTTGGCAGTAAACCCCCACATTCACCTTGTGGTGACCTTTAGGCATTTCTAAAGTGAAGGAGAGATTTCCTACGAGCCCAGATTTCTGAGTTTTGAGGGGTGTTCTTAGGCTAGTTTTATGACTTAGCATGGGCACAGCACTTGTGCACAAATCAGTTCTCTTGCCTTCTCAGCATTCTTTACAACAGCCCCATAAAGATAAGCCAATACCCCAATATATAAAAAGGGCGATAAGAAAAACCCTGCCAATTATAGACCCATTAGTTTGTTAGATGTAGCCTCCAAACTATATGCCAGGCTCCTTCTTGGGAGACTAGAAGAATGGGCAGATACAAATAAGGTGATATCTGAAGTCCAAGCTGGTTTCCAAAGAGGGAAATCCACATTGGACCAGTGCTTTGTGCTGAACTTTCTGCTATGTAAATACATCCATAATTTGAAGCAAAAATTATATGTTGCTTTTATCAATCTAAAGTCAGCTTTTGATACGGTCCCAAGACACGCATTGTGGCAAAAATTGGAGAAGACAAATATAGACCTCCGTCTATTATTTCTCATCAAAACATTATATACTGACACATCAATACAAGTAAAGGTGGATCTGGCTGGCCATCTCACCACTAGAATTAAGACCACCACTGGAGTCAAACAGGGATGCATTTTGGCACCTTTCCTGTTCAATTTTTATATTAATGACATGGTTAAAGAACTGGAGGGCCTACAGTTTGCCCCTGTCACAATTCTCGACCAAAAACTCTGTTTTAATGTATGCTGATGACCTAGTACTTGTATCTAGAACCCAGGTGGGCCTGAGATGGCTGCTTGCAAAATTAAGTTCATATTGCATGAGGAATGCTTTATCTATAAACTATGATAAGACGCAGGTCATTGTATTTGGGAAGCGTTATAAAAAGCATGTTTGGCACCTGGATGAACACATCATAAACCAAGTAAATACGTTTAAATATCTGGGATTGATTTATTCAGAAACGGCATCTTGGAATACACAGCTATCCAATATTAAATTGCAAGCCTTTAAATCAGCAAAAGCCATTCTGAAATTCGCTGCATGTAAAGGTGGAAATCTGGTCAACCCAGCTCTATCTGTGTATAAAGCAAAAACAAAGGCCCAGATTTTATATGGCGCAGAGGTTTGGGGTACCTCAAAGGTCTCTGGTCTGGAACCCCCACAGAATTATTTTTTAAGAGTTCTTTTAGGTTTACCCAAAGACGTGCAATCTGCCATGGTCAGGTTGGAAACTCGCATGTTGAGCATAGAGAGCCAAATAGATAAAAGAATTCTCTGTTACTGGTTTAGAGTTCAACAGATGGACAACACTAGGCTACCAAAAAAATGCCTGATTGAGCTCTCAAATGGATTACCCCTTAAAAACTGGGTACATCATGCTGCCCAACTGATGGGCAAATATGATCTCTCAGTGACTGAGATTAAAGAACTCCCCTTATATTCACAGAAAAATATTTTTAAACGAACCATAAGGGCAGTGGCAACTAAAAACGATCTAAACTCTATGTGCACATCTACATGCGCCCCATTGTATTTTAAACTTAGAGAGGTCAATGAACACATATCTTATTTTAATGAATTGACTTTTGCACAGCTTCGAAAAGCTTTTACAGAGCTACGACTAAATACAATAAGCTCTGCTTATAGAGATGGGAGACATAGAGGCATACCAAAAAACGAACGTGTTTGCATTAGGGGATATTCTGAAGTAGAGGACCTTATGCATTATATCTTGCACTGTCCGTTATATAATGATGCAAGAAAAAGATTTTTGGTAACTATAATGACAGGGTCCCCTGACCAGAACCCCCTTGACATGATGTTATATCTCCTTGCAGACACAGATAAGTATGTGACCTGGCGGGTAGCACTTTTTGCAACTGCTGCTAGGAAAATTAGAGCAAATTATATAGCCAAGGTAGCCATTAACTGTAAAGGAGATGAATTTATTTGATCCTATCTATCTACCTCAGGCTATGCTCTATCTTTGTCACCAAACTCTGAGTATAAATTGCACACTGTATTAATTGATATTGTTTTTAACATTAGTGACCATGTGATGATTTTAGCTTATGAATTTTATTGTTTAATGTTTTTATTTGTACATTGGGGTACTTTTATAGCTTTGTTTAGAGTACGTAATGTTTTAATAATATAAATGTTTTAAGTCTTTTTTTTACCAATTCAGTATATTTTCTTTTAATTGTCAAATAATTCTGTGTACATTGCGGCAGCCTTTGGCTATGTGCAATAAAACTGACTGAGACTGACTGATAAGCCAATATTATTCTGTGTCTCAACCCTGACTCCCTTTTCAACAGCCTTCCACTGAGTTTAACGGCAGGAACTATAACAGGAACTTCCTGGTTCAGTCTATCACAACGCTAGCTCCAGAACCACTTTCCAGCCTCCCAAGGTTGGAGAACTTGTAGTTGTACAGATGTTGTTGGATTGCAACTCTCCTTAGCACCAATCAGAGAAAGGCATATGCCCTTATATTCTAGCTCTTCACTTTCTCTATGAACATACCAACTACATAGAAGGCATCGCTGTAAAAGAACTTCACTTACATCCACCTTTCTTGTTCATGATTGACTATTTGCATTTGGGGCCTTGTGGTGCTTCTTTCCAACAACTTGTCTGCAAAGAGTTTCAATGGTAACAAAGGACAAAAAAAAGTTACTTACTGGAGCAGTGCAATTTTACTGGAGGAAGGCAGAGCTCTTTAGCAATGTCTGTGTTTTTGATCTTCAAGGCTTCATCAACCTGAAACATACAAAAATTACTATTTAGCCTTCCATTTCATACCATGGACTTAGGCACACAGGACTACTGTCTTGCACTACCAGACTTCAGGTCTATCGAGCTCAGTATTGTTTAGAATAACTGGCAGTGGTTCTTTCTGAGAAGGTATCTTCCCAGTCCTACCTGGAGAAGCTGAGGATTGAACCTAATACTTTCTGAACACAAAACAGGTCCATAAGCTACAGCTTTTCCATAGCAACTGCTGCTAACTCTGCTCCACAGACACAATTTCATTTTCTATTGCCAGCTTACCACCCCTCTGCTGGAGGCAGTATGCTTCTGAAATTCAGCTGCTGGGAACTGGTAGGAAGGGTGCTGCTGCAATCATATCCTGTCTGCAGGCTTCAAAGAATCATCTGGCTGATCACTGAGAACAGGATGCTGGACTAAAAGGACTTTTGGTCTGATCCAGCTGCAGGCCTCCACAATTGACTTCCACATTATTAGACTCTTAGGATGATGCATGCAAAATCTACCCTCCCTGGACTGGAAACGACTTTCTTCAAACAGCCTAAGAGATGGTAATGCAGCATGAAAGGTTTTTTTCCAAAACAAGGCCAAGGTATATATTGACAGGCATCAGACTTACCGTCTTGCCCTTCACCCATTCAGTAGCCAAGGAACTCGAAGCGATTGCTGACCCACAGCCAAACGTCTTGAACCTGGCATCTGTTATCTTTCCATTTTCATCTACTTCAACCTGAGGACATTTTCATGAGAGTGACTAAGCATTGCATTGAAACGAAAGAGACACTTCTCTTGTTCACGATCACAGAGAATAGAGGGTGAGAGACTGGAAGAGGCTTTATTGTCTCACAGCCTTTGGTGCCTCAAGGCAGCACTAACTTACCTGCAGCTTCATGACGTCCCCACAGGCTGGTGCTCCCACAAGGCCAGTCCCAACATTCTTTGCGTTCTTATCCAGGGAACCAACATTTCGTGGGTTCTCATAGTGATCAACAACCTGGAATTCAAAAGCAAAGGTTTGATGTGCATCTTCAGAGGACAAAGGTGAATCCTTGAAGAAGATAATCATCCTGGAACCTTCCAGCTCTGCAACTCTAGGACTATTCACTTATCATTTAATGGAGTCGCAAAGTCTCTGACTGCCACCTACTGGAGACATTTCTTGACTGAGCCCTAGACAACGGGGATGTCTATCTTTGGATTTTCTGCATCATCACACAGGTGGCTGGACAAGGCAGCCTACAGGGACCCTTCTAATTGTTTGATTTCTGCCACTCAGTCCAGCACAACTTAAAGAGATCCCCAAGAAATGATTAAAACTTACCCCAGTCTCATAAAATATCTGTCAAGGGGAGGGGGAGTGTCTGCAATGCCCTGTGTACACAACCTTGTAGTCAAAGTGCTCCTCCACATTATGGGCAGGAGAAACAAACAGCATGGCCCTTCGAACCCAGCAGGGAATATACTGGTGCACAGTATCTAGCCAATACTAATACCAGTTCTAAGCCAGATGTCTGCAAACCCCCACCACTGTGCGCCGTTTCCTGCCTCTCCTTCTGTGCCTCCTTTTAGTATACCACCCTTCATATGCCAGCTCTCTGACTATGTTAGCCCTGTTCCTTCTGCATCCTTCCTCCTTCCCTCCATGAATCACGCCAACTCCCACAGCTTATGATTACCGCTAATCATTCCTAGAGCACATGGATTTCACTAAGCATTGTACACAAGAGCAAGGCAGTCCCTGCCTGCAGGCTAACAATATAGAGGCCATGATACAAAATGGAAAAGGGATGAGAGTAAAAAAGGGCAACCTCAGTCACCAACTTCTCTATCTACCCACAATGCAGCCCCTGCCCCACTGCAAGGCCTTTCCCCATGCCTCCCTCTGACCACCAGCTATTTGTTAAAGATCACCACTCAATTTATTATTATTATTTTTTAAACGAAGTGTCCTCATTATTTATACTAATTAACCCCTCTCAGGCATCTATTCTGTTTGAAGCCCACTAAACTGTCCCCTCCTCAAATCTGTGCAGGCTTCCCTTCTCACCCCCTTTCTGATGTTCCACTCAGTTTCCAGCCACCCTTGTTGTATCAGCCCCAGGTCTACAAAGATCCCCAATCCTACCTTAGTCCCCCAAATCCTTATCACATCCCCTCTCCAACCCCCCTAGGTTACCCCCCAACACCCCTTATGATCCCCATACCTGCGCAGCGTTCCCTTGCACCCCCTTGTGATATCCCCCACAATCCAGCTACCCATTTAGAATGACAGCCGCTGCCTCAGAGAATCACGGAGCTGCAGAGCGGAAGGGGCCCTCCAAGGGTCCTCGAGTCCGTCCTCCTGCGATGCAGGAATGACAGCTGAGGAATCCCTGACAGGGGGCCGCCTGGCCTCTGCTTCTCAAAACCCTCCAGGGAAGGAGGGTCCGCCACCTTCTGAGGGACGACCCCCCCCACCGAAAACCCCTGTTCTGCTGGTTCCTCCCCCCTCGCCCGCCTTTCTCCTGCGACCCTCAAAGCCCCCCTTGGGTGAGCCAGCCCCCGTCCCCTACCTTCTCGTGGTATCCCGCGGCGAGAGGAGCCTGGGCCGGCCCAGGCCTCAGGAGAGCCGCCGCCGCCCGCTGCGCAACGCTCGCCCTCAGCGCCGCCATCTTGTCTGCTGGAGGAGAACTGCGACGCAGGAGACAAGGACGGCGCGAGATTGTGACGCCACGCCGGCAGCGCCAGGTGAGGCCACAGCGCCCTGCTGAGGGCAAAACGAAACGGGCGTCATTAGCCACGCCCTCCGGGAGGAATAAACTTAACCCTCCCGGAGAGGGAATTAACCTGTTGCTGCCTGGATGTTATTCTCATTATTGTCATTTGTCTTATTATTATCGTTATTATTATTATTATTGCAAGTTTTGATTTGTTGCTTTGTCTGCAGTCCTAATTCCACTTGGGCGCGAATCCTGCTGAATTCAGTTGATTTACTTCTGAGTAGACATTGTGTACATACATACATAATTCTATTTGAATTCCATCTTTCCAGGGTTCAAACCATGCTCCATGCGGCTTACAACATGAAAAATTCCAACGTAACAACAGTAGTCATAAATAATAAATATAACAAAAACACACAACCAAGCATAATCAGAGTACTGTAACATCTGAAATGAATACAAAAGATTACAGTCAATAACTGTAACAACCCACCCACCTCCCAACAAAACCTCTTAAAGAATTCCCAAGCCCGAGGCTGTTCAGCGCCACAGCTTCTGTCAGGGCTAGTGCGGGGAAAGCCTGCGTCATTTGTAGGCCGCTGCCGCCACCCAATGCGTTTTAGCTTTGGGGTGCAAAGGAGCTATGCTTTTTTTGTTGTTGTTTTTTGCTTTGTTGCCTTTTATTTATTAGAACTGTTTCTATCCCACTTTTCATGTCGGCATCACAAGGCAGGGGACACAAAAACACATTAAACGACATTGAAACTTACAGGAAAAAATAGTAGTCAGGCCAAAACCGATATTTGCTGACCATAATTACTGTACTTAATTATTGAGAGCATAAATGTTTAGCAGTCACGAGAGAATGCCATCAGTGTTGGCATCCGCTTTGATTTTACAGTTTTACATGTATTTTTACACCAATTATTTTATTTATTGAATATTTTATTGGGAAGTATGCAAATAATGGGAGTAAATAAATGATTTATTATTTGAAGCAGGTGGGCGTACAAATACTTTTATTTATGGCCTGACACGACTCTGGAGAGGACCAAGCTTTTATGCGTGGCTCTTGGGCCCCCCCCCACCCAACCAGGGGCCCTGGAGCAAATTTAATGCTGCTTTCAGAGCAGATGCCTCCCCCGCTCTCTCAGCGCCACCGCTTGGGCAAATGGGCTGGCCTATTTTGAAAGTTACACTCAGCGACGAAGCTCCCTCGGGGGCCACTCTACGGAAAAGGCGGGATATCAGTGTCATAGCACACACGAGACACAACCAAACAGGAAGGTCTCCTGCGCAAGCTCCTTTCAAGCCAACGGAACCAGAGCAGCGGCGCGCTGACACACTCAACATGGCGGCCCCGGCCTGCCTTTCCCTGGGCGATGGAGAGGGTCCTTCTGACCTTCCTTGAGGCGCTTTTGGGAAAGCCCGTGATTTATGCCTCTTCGAAAAGAACCAAATGGCGATGCCCTTCACCTGCCGGGGACGCTTCCTGTCCAGAGGCCCTTCTTAAGAGCTCTGCGGGACCGACATCCCCCCGCCTTGTTTGTACCAGACGCCTTCGGAGCAGCAGCTGCCTCTATTTTTCAGTCAGGCGTTAGAGCAGGGCAGCCCAGAAGCGCGGCGGGCGAAAAGGCTGGCGGGAGGGGGCCTTTCCTTGAGTGGGAGAGAGGCGCGCGCGGCGGCGGCACAAGATGGCGGCCATTGGCGGAGCCGCTGAGGAGGAGATGCGGGAGGCGCGGGCCTCGGAAGATGAAGGCGAGAAGGAAGGCGACGGCGAAGAGGAAGAAGCGGATGGGGAGTCCGAGTCCGAGGAGTCCTCCGGGGAAGGCGAGGATGCGGACGCGGAGAAGGAGAACGAGGCCGAGATCCAGCGCCTGGAAGAGCAGGTGAGGGCCGCGCGGGGCGGGGCTGCCGCGGAGAAGGCCACGCCCCCGCCCGAAGCGAAGACGGGCCCGGGGGGGGGGCGAGGAGGGTGGCTTTTGGTTTCTCTCTTCCTGCGTGAGCCTGGAGCTCCTCCCCTCCCCTCGCCGTGTGCTTGGGGAAGAGTCTCAGGGGTGCAGCTGGCAGCACCGAGCTGTTTAGTTCGTTATCTTGCTGCCTGTATATCACATTATTTCCTTCCTCGTTTTTCATTGTTATAACTTACTCACTTTTATGCCACTTCATTCGAGGATCACAGAGCGGTTCGCTTCATAGAAACACAAAGATAACAATAACAAGCAGACATTCCCCCCCCCCATAGATTCATTGATTAAAGAAAGGCCTGGGAGAGGAGGAATGTTTTTGCTCAGCACCTAAAGATACGCAACAAAGGCCCCATTCCCGTGTTGCCACCCTCCAGGCCTCTCGTGGAGGGGGCACGCGAAGTGATGCTTGCGGGGTCCGGGTCAGTTCACATGGGGAGAGGTGAGGTAGGTTGGGCTGAAAGTGAGTGGCTGAAGCCCTGGTCTCCCCAGCTCTTAACCACTGTGCCACACTGGCTCCTGTTGGCCTAATTAACTCAGTTTAAAATGCGCAAGAAGTCTTTCCCAGCCCTGCCTGGAGGAAGCAGGGGTTGCACCTGGGACTTTCTACATGCAAACCTGGTGTTCTACTACTGCCCTCCAATGTAGGCAGATCCCCTGCACCTCTGCACTGAGAGAGAGATCTCCCTGAGGTACTTTTTGAGACCATGTTTTGAGCAAACCATGCCTGACTTTTTGGGGAAGGAGGCCAGCCCTGGGTGATGACATGTACAGAGATGTAGCGGAAGCCATCATAACTAGACAGTGGTGTGCATAGATTTCAGGCTCCTGGTCTATGAGCTGGAGCTGGTGCAAACTGCAACTTAGTGTGCTGTGAAAATATCAGGGACTTGAGCATGACCTGAGAGAACGGATGCATAGATTCCCCCTAGAATGATTGTTTGTGGTGCCTTGTTAAGTCAAGAACACACCCAAGAAAAAAGCCAATGAGGCTTGACTTCTACCTGTTCTTCCACTAAAAGCTTACAAATAAAGCTATTTTTGTTGTCTTTAAGCTATCCATCAATGTATTTGATTACAATTGTCACCTGGATCTCATAAAATTGCTGCACCAGGAAGGAGAATTAGTCAAACTCCGAAGAGCCCGTCAGAAGATGAGTGAACTCTTTCCCCTTACAGAAGGTAGGCTGTTTTTATAGCTTGATTTGCCATAACCTTACGCTATTTATTTTATTTATCATTACATTTGTATCCCACATTTTCTCCAGAGAGCTCAAGGGGGCATGCAGACTTCTCTCCCTCTCCATTTTATCATCACAAAAACCCTGTGAAGGAGGTTAGGCTGACAGACAGTGACTGGCACAAAAGTCACAAAGTGAGCTTCATGGCTGAGCAGGGATTTGAACCCTGGTCTCCCTGGTTCTGGTTCAGCACTCTAACCACTACTCTGCACTGGCTCCTCTACACGATGTGGTGCTGGCTTTAAAAGGGAGTTAGCCTTGTCTCCTATGGATTGCCTATCAAAGGATACTAGTCATAACGGTTATGTGCTACCTCCAAGTTGAAAGGCTGTATGCCTGTTGTGCTCGTGTTCTGTTGATATGAATGTACATATCCTGTATACTGCAGAAATCTGGCTAGACTGGCTGAAGGATGAGATTCGGATGGCTTCAGAAAACTCGGAGAGAGACAAGATCTATGATCTCTTTGAGAGAGCTGTGAAAGACTACATCTGTAAGTTTTCACCGTAAAAAAAATCTAACACCACAAACATTGACATGTTCCTAAGCCAAAACAGCCTAAACAAGCCACCTAAACTGCAGGATACTAAATTTTAAGCCAGGCAAGTGTAAACTGAAGGCTGATTGTAACTATTCCTGGCAGTTTGGCTTGCAAAGTTCTGGGTTCTAAATATTTGCTGTTTATTTCTGTTGGAAAACATGGTACATGGAGAGAATAATTGGAATGGGGAGAGAATGAATTCAGGTAGCTCTAGGGGAAGAGCTGAGGGATAGGCAAAAGTGAGGTCCATTTAGGCTGGTTTGTCATCTTCTGCCTTTGCTCTCCCAACACAGAGATAATTTAGACCCAGGATGGGGAACCTGTAGTCCTCCAGATACTGTTGAACTGCAGTCCATTGGCCATGCTACCTGGGGCTCATGGGAATTTGGTGTCCTGCAACACCTGGAGGGCTAGGGGTTCCTGATCTCTGGTTAACTTCCCAAGACTCCCTTACAAATGAGTACAAATGTTGACTGTTGCATTTGCTTTTATCCATGTGTATGCTTGAGCAGTGAAATCTATAAGTTCATCTTTAAAAGAATTGTTTCCACACTCTTCACATAAAATTTACTAGGGTGGCTTACACATAATTCAGCAGCAAAAAATACAGTACAGAAGTCAATAATGAAAAAGAGCGGGTAGAACCCAGTTAAAACTGATCACAGTTAAAAGATCTTAAAGCTGCACTTTTGGAATAAATCGCATGCAGACCTGAGTGGGCAGCATTCTGGTGTTTTTTTCTAGGTCCGGAAATATGGCTGGAATATGCCCAGTACTCGATTGGAGGCATTGGCCAGGAGGGAGGCATTGATAAAGTTCGTTCAATCTTTGAAAGGGCGCTAACGGCTGTTGGTCTTCACATGACGAAAGGAGCTGCCATCTGGGAGGCATATCGGGAGTTTGAAAATGCCATCCTGGAAACAGTGCAGGTAAAGGACCACTGTAGTTTGTGCATTGGTAACCTTGAAGATGATTTACCACCATGTGCTCTATGCAGGGCTCCCCTTGGGCCTGGTTTGGAAGCTCCAGCTGGTGCAGAATGCTGCAGCCAGATTGCTGATGGAACAACATTGCTCTGGCTGCCATTGAGCCAGATTCAAGGTCCTTGTATTAATTTACAAATCCCTGAACAACTTGAATCCAGGGTGTCTCTGGGATCTCCTGAACCTTTATACAGTATCATAGTCGGATTACTGCGATAGTCTGCAGGAGCGTCATTGGCCCAATCTTGTTGAACACTCTGCCAGTAGAGATTCAGGAGATGCCTTCTGCGCCA